CCACGGCGGGCCTCAGCCGCTCGCCCTGCACCGAGCGGCCGTGTCCGGCACCGAGAGCCCCGAGGCACCCGCGACCCTCTGCACAAGCCAGAGCATCCCGGGTACCTGCCCCGGAGCATCCCAGGTACCTGTCCTGGAGCATCCCACATGAACTAGAGCATCCCGTGCACCCAGCCCTGGAGCATTCCAGGTACTCGCCCCGGAGCATCCCACATGATCTAGAGCATCTTAGGTACCCGCCCTGGAGCATCCTGCATACCCGCTTTGGAGCATCTCAGGTATCCATCCTGGAGTATCCCACATGATCTGGAGCATCCCATGCACCCAGCCCTGGAGCATCCCAGGTACCCACCCTGAAGCATCCCACATGACCTGGAGCATCCTGTAGACCTGGCCTGGTCCTAGATCTGGCCCTGCAGAGCATCCCTTGGGAGCCTCAGCATTCCACACTCCCAGCCCTGGAGCATCCCCTGGAGCCTGAGAAACCTGAGCTGGAGCATCCCACACACCCACCCTGGAGCAGAGCATCCCTTGTCATCCAGAGCATCCCTTGTGATCCGGAGCATCCCAAGGGAGCAGAGCACCCCTTGGGAGCCCCAGCACCCCCCACACCCGGCCCTGGAGCTGTCCCCGGCGCTCACGGAGTCCTTGAGGGCCAGGAAGCAGTGGCAGATCCAGCGGCGCGTGGTGCCATCGCGGCAGATGTAGGAAAAGGCCTTGTCGAAGTTGCGGTCGGGGGCGCAGAATGACACCTTCTCGATGGTCTGGTCCACGAGCAGGTCCTGGCAGGAAGAGCAGGGAGGGGAGTGACGGGAGGCTGGGATGCCCCGGCATGCTCCACTCGGCTCCGCTCACCTTGGTCTTGTCGTCCACGACGCGCAGCCCGTCTGCCGATACCCACAGCACCGACTTGACAGCCTTGCGGCCGCTCTGCACAAACCACCGTCAGCTGCGGGGGGGACCGGGAGGAAGGAGACCCCCCCATCCCACTGGAGCCGCCTCCGCCCCGGGAATGGGGCAGGGAGGCCACGGGAGCCGCTCACCGCTTTGAGCTTCTTCACAGCCTCCTCACACACGTGCATCCCCCGCGACTCGTCCACCTCCGCGTGGCCCAGGTACTGGGGGGGACATGGGCCGTGGGGGGCATCAGCACGGCCGGGCTCCCCCAACATGCATGAGGGTGCACAAGGGGGCATGAGAGTGCACACCCGAGCATGGCACCCCGTGCACGAGCATCGCACCCCATGCACGCGCATTGCGTCCCATGAACCCCATGCGTCTCACACATGAGCATCACACCCCGTGCATGAGCGTTGTGCCCCATGCACAAGCATTGCACCCTATGCAGTTGTGCATGAGCATCGCGTCCCGTGCACAAGCATCGCACCTCAGGCACCCCATGCACGAGCACCACACCCCATGCATGCGCATCGTGCCCTATGCATGAGGATGCAAGAGGGTGCACAAGGATGCAAGAGGGTGCACGAGGATGCACACCCAAGCACTGCACTCCATGCACGAGCATCGCACCACGTGCACGAGCACCATGTCCCAGGCATGAGCATCGCACCCCATGCACAAGCAACGCGCCTCATGAACAAGCAACGCGCCCCATGCATGCACATCTCATCCCATGCACGAGCACCACACCTCATGCACCCCATGCACGAGCATCACACCCCATGCATGCGCATTGTGCCCTGTGCACGAGGATGCACACCCAAGCACTGCATCCCATGCACAAGCATCGTGCTCCATGCCCCCATGCACGAGCATCGCGCCCCATGCACAAGCAACACGCCCCATGCACAAGCAACACGCCCCATGCACAAGCAACACGCCCCATGCACAAGCAACACGCCCCATGCACAAGCAACACGCCCCATGCACAAGCAACACGCCCCATGCACAAGCAACACGCCCCATGCACAAGCAACACGCCCCATGCACAAGCAACACGCCCCATGCACAAGCAACACGCCCCATGCACAAGCAACACGCCCCATGCACAAGCAACACGCCCCATGCACAAGCAACACGCCCCATGCACAAGCATCGTGCCCCATGCACCCATGCACGAGCATCGCGCCCCACGCACGAGCATTGCGCCCCATGCACAAGCATCGTGCCCCATGCACCCG